AATGTTACCAAACATTCTGTTGTAATTATATTTGAATCTTAAATGTATACAGAGATTTGTAGAGGAAAAGAACAATAAAACAGAAAAGTGAAAATAATTTCTATTACATTCATATTATGCTTCCTATTTCAAACACAACATGTCGGTAAATTGAGTGAATGGTCGATCTAACCATAATATTCACAAGATCAAAAAACATAAATATTGACAATGTTTTTGGAATTTTGTCATTTGTCACCCTGAAGATCTGTTATTTAATTTCCATCTCGTTTGGGAACATACTATTTTAGTAACTTTTTGACTTTTTACAAAAAGATATGCAGAAAAATTGAGAGAGTAATGTGACAACTTATAGTGACTTTTTAACTAAAAATTAAAGTTCCCAAACCACATACACTTTGAATTTTCCCTTAAAAAAAACATAACACTTTGTATTGGCAAGCTCAAACAACTAGTTGTATGAATCAAATTTGTTCCACAAACTGACCATATATTGCTAAAAGATCATGTGTAACAGCCATGTTTCATTGGCAACCAAAATCAAGTATAAAGAAGTTAATAAAAGCTTTGTTATTTGTCAAAAACCTCTGGTTTGAGTGTCACTTATGTTGACTTTAGAGTCGTGTCTTCAGCATCATTGTAAATCTCGTTTTTTTAGTAAAAAACTAACTGGTTACCTATGAGCTACTATGTTACCAGACATGATGTCTACGTTCAAGTCTTATAACAGCATAACACAATTTTCTTTTCCATATTCCCCTCCAGCTAAATGTAAATAAATAAATAAAATAAAATAAAATAAAAAGTAAATTTATTTTATCATACCATCATTCATTCAGCAATGATATCTACACAATTTCACAAAACAAATGACAAATTCCATACATAACAATCATCCTTGAAGTGATTCCTCCTCCAATATAAAAACTTTCATTTCCCAAATTCAAATCCTAAATAGGTACATCACCAACACAAAGAGACAAGAGTCCTAATAAACTTGTTTTTTTTTTTACTTGACGTAGTAAGGAAGGTCAAGGACATAGAGCAAGAAATAGGCCCAAATGACCCCAGAAATGCCACCAAAGAAGAACCCACCAGTGAACTTGGCCCAACCATCAGCAGTCTGCAACTGGTCTGGCTCCTTCTTCCTTCCAGTCAAAGTCAATGCCGGTGCAGTCGATGGCTCTCCTTCTTTGAATGATGCAATCCCATACATTGTTAGGCAAATGCTTAGTATAACTACAAGCCCTCCTGCTGCTAGAGATCCGGCTGGGCCGGCAACCGGTGTATCTCTTAGCGGGCCTGTCTTGACGAAAGGCCCAACTAGGAGGTAGCCGTGCGCCAGGCCAACCTCAATTCCCCGGAGAAGTGGGCTCACGGCTGTCCGGTAGGCCGGGAGGTTGGAGAGGTACCAAGCGATCAATGGGCTTGATGTTACCGGAGTCTCGAGGCTCCCGATAAATGGGTCACCATTGATGGGCTGAATAACTTGGTAAGTGGGCTGCACAATAATAAAACATTTGTGCTAAGAATATAAAAGATTTGAGACAAATTATGAGTATCACGTGAAAATCTTGTATATATTTAGATTAGTATTCTTTTGTATGGAAAAGCAAAATCGAGTAATGGACTTGTATGAGTTAACACCCTTTAGATATGTCATTCATAGTTTTAATTTTATGTATGAACTTCAAATTTTATAAACTCTTAACACTACATATTTTTTATTTTTTCATTATTTAATAAAAGAGAATTTATAAATAAGGGAAATTGCACTTCAGTGCAAGTTTCCAAATATATATATATATATTAATTAGTGAAAAATTTTATCAATTTTAACAATTAAAGTTATAAGTTTTTTCATTAATTTGTAAATATTAATATTTTGTAAAAATATCACTAATTTGCAATTCCCCATTATAAATACAATGAGAATGTCATTACACCAAATATTCAATTATGTTAAAAAACATAACAATATATAATCATACTCATATAATAAACTTAACAATTACAATGTCATCATTTAAGATTTCAACAACTGAGATAATAATACTACCAACTGGATGTCTCTTAATTTCATAGATATTGGCCTTAATACTAGAATTGAAAAGTGAGGAGTTCTACTTATGAGTGTTGATAGTTTTGATTGGATTTAACCAAGGTTGATCATCAAGTTTTCCTTCCTCCATGGAATGTAATTTTGTCCAAGGGAGCAACTATAAATTATGCCAATTAAGAATCAGGGAAAATGAAAATATGCAACAATTAACCCAATTAAAAGCACTCAAAAAGGAGAACAGTCTCTCTCTCCTGACCTTGTCTGTCTGGACAGCTTTGATGGTGAAGGAAGAGTTTCTCCTGCAGGGTAAGACTCTCAATGGAGCTGCAGAGATACCCTTAGGGATGATCAGTCCCCTTGTTGAAGAAGCAAAGCTGCTCCTCAGCTGACTGGCCATTGGGGAAGCTGTGGCTGCCATGGTTGCTTTTCCTACCAAAGACTTCTACTCTTCAGAACTAAAAATAATAGAGATACATAATAAGGAGTGGAGAGAGAAAATGCAATATTTTGTGACTAGGCAAAGGAATATCTTTTGCTCACAAGAACTTGTGGCTGTCAGGGGATGATGGGTTGAACATGTACATTTTTCATTGGATGAGTGAGTGTTTTGGACCTTATCCCTTATCCACATTAGCTGAGGCTAGGAATAGGATGAGTCTCATGGTTAATTGGTATGTGATTAAGGATATTTTAGGCTCTTGATGAACAGAAGATCTCAAGGAGAGATGGCAATGGGCAGCTGATTGCCTATCAACTTATGAAATAAAAATAAATTAAATAAGATGTAAAAAGGTAAGGGTAATTATTCTAAGACTTCCTTAATTATTAACGAATATCACTTTACTTCTCATCTAAGACTGTAAATTGGCCCGCAGCTCGGGGTGGGCCCGATCTATTGAGGCTCGTTTGGGATCGGGCCTCAAGCCCAACTCGAGCCCCTAGGCCTGGGCCATTATTTTGAAGCCTGGCCCGTATTCTAGCCCATCGGCCCGCTTTAAGTCTCATTTAAGGCCCGGCCTGTGGCCTAGCCCGCCCGAGGTCCAGTGTCTTTTTTTAGTGAAAAATAATAAAATTTTGATAGAAGAAATTTTAAAAAAAAATAATAAATGGTCAGGCCCCAAGCCCGAGGCCCGGCCTACCAACCCATCCAAGCCCCGAATACTCCTAGGCCTATTTTTTGGCCCATGAGCCGGCCCGGTCCAGACCCGAATTTTGGCGGGAGCCCGCAAGGCCCGACGTGGGCCGAGCCAAGTCAGGTTGGGCCAGATTTATACCACTATCCTTATCTATACATTCGTACATTTTGACCCATCAATTATGAAAATAGTACAAATATACTTTTTTTAAGAGATAGTGTAAAGGGAGTATGTAGGGGTGAAAATGTCACATTTTTATATTTGAGAGAGTCAAAATATGTGTGTTTGATTGGGGGGATTAGGAGGGGGGACTATCCACTATTTGGATTGTAATCCAAATAGTGCACCTTATCCGTCGTTTGATTTTTTTTTAGTCCGGCGGACTCCATGTCCGGCCGGACTCCATGTCCCCCATATGGGGGACTATCCTGTCCTGGGGGGGGGGGTGGGACAGAAAGTGGGGGACTAATCACTGTTTGGATTATATGCGAAAATGACCATTTTGACCCTCTACAGCAGGATATAAGTTAGAGGCTGCGATCGAACAACTAAGTGTGGATGTGACTGGAAAAGTAGCTCTAGATTCGGGATTGTCCACTGGAGGGTTTACTGACTGCTTACTTCAATACGGTGCTTCATTTGTTTATGGAGTTGATGTTGGATATGGACAGGTAAGACTTTTATAGTGACATCTTGTGCTCATGAATTTTAAATGTTTTCTTTGCTTGCCTGAAGAAAATATTCAATGTTCTATTTGCTTGCATGATGGTTTAGAAGAAAATGCGGAAAAGAAAATTTAGTTTCTTAACTGCAGATTTAATTAGACTGAGTTAACCTGCAATAGTTTATTACTCATAACCACAGTTAGCACCAAACCTTGAGATGCACAATGCTGCATCGCTTTTTTGCCAAGTACTGGATGAATCATTGAGCGTGGACTGACCAATAATGTCTTGAACAATTTTCACATATTGTTTTCAACAGTCTTGGACCATTGTTTGCAGCAATGTTATAAAGCTTGGGCTGCCAAGCTTGACTTATCTACTGGATTCCAAAAAGCCAAAGAGTGAAAGATAATACTCCCAAGTCTCAAGCAATTACCAAGGGATCCAGGACAACAGGCACCATAAAAAGCCACTATATTGTTTTGTTGAGCTGATTTTTATGGATTTGGTGGAAATTGAAAGCAGCAAGCTATTTAAAAGATTAACAAAAACATGGCATAGACATCTTCTATTCTCTTATACGTTTTCTTTTTCTTAGTTTCCTCAGCAACCAAACTGCACTTATAGGGGGGAAAAGATATATGCCTAAGTTGTAAGTAGCACAACTAGAGACTGTCAAGGTAGGCACGTCTTGCCAGTTTAAATATATCCGGGGAATTACTCTCCTCTTGCCAGATTACCAGTTTTATCAAAGCTTCGGGTAAAGGAGTTGTGAGGGTTGACATGAAAGGAAACTCTCAAATGGTAATAAATGTTTGTTATGCAAAAGGAGTTATCCACGAAAATGTGGCCCTCTATTTATATACTTAAGTATATATAAAATCCAATATTAGTTTGAGGATTGTAGATAACACCGGAGCCACATCTGCAAAGAGGCAAGTAAGGCAGCAGATTAATTGCAAAATAACCCAATACTGCAGTAGCACAGTTGTGAAAAGTGCTGGCATGGCATCCTTGAGTGAGATTGTGAATGAATTATCAAATCTATCTTCTTATTATGAATGTTTGATTTGACAAAAAAAAAAAAAAAAAACAAAAAAAAGTTACACATATGGTGTTGGGTGGTGCAACATGTGTACCACGAATTGGAGAGCGTGTTATGCTTATAAGTTATAGCACGATGTTGTGGGATTCAAGGGTCTTGTCATGGAATGATATTGTTGATTCGAACTATTTATATTATAAAGTTTGTTGAATAGTGTATTTATAAAAAAAAAATTAGATTATAAATATCTATAATCTCAAAATAAGATTATTTTTATTTTTTTTTTAAATAAACAGTTAATATAATTTTGATAATTTATTTTAAAATAGTTAGGACTTAATCATAGTGTTATACATGTTCAAATAATTTGATTTTTTTTCATGGATAATATGTTTAACAAATCTTATTATATGAATAGTTTGGATTATTAAAATAAAATTCATTACACATGGGTCACACAGCACATAATCCTTACAATAGGGTGTGGTGAGGGGACGATCAAGATTCGAACTGATGGAGCAGCGACAACCTCTTTAGTTGTAATCTAACTTTGTTAACAAATTAACATCCTACAATTTTGACACTCAAAAAAAAAAAAAAAAAAAAAAAAAAGAAAAAGAAAGAAAGAAAGAAAGAAAGAAAGAAAGTACCATAGCCTATTTCTTTTGAACTATTTTTTTGGTATGGGCCTATTTTCTGTTGGATCAGGCTGGACGTTCGGCCTACCAACCCAACAAGAATTGTCCAGAATTGGGCTTAATATGCAAGGGTTCTGTGTCCTGTCTTGTTAAAGCAGTTGTGCTTACAGGAGAGGAGAGCAGAGCAGAGGGTTTGACGGAAAGGAAGAAAGAATCGAGGGGGAGACACAAAAAGAAAAGAAAATGGCACTAAAGCTTTTGAAGCTTCCCATATCACGCTGTTGTAGTAGAAGCACTACTTCTTCTACTTGTATTAGTTCAACTAGTTACTGTACCTTCTTTTTCTTCTCCAAATCTTCCACCAACACCCCACTGCTGTCTGGTTCTTTCTGCTACTCTCTCTCTCTCTCTCTCTCTCTCTCTGTGTTTTGAATTCATATATGTTGTGGTGTATTATTATTGTTGTTTTCATTTCTGTTTTGTGTTCTTCATTTTTTTTCACTACCCATTTGAATTTCCTATATTGGGTTTATTTTATTTCTTAATTTTAGTTACTGATTTTGGGGCTTGTGATGATTTCTTTCATTTACTCATTTTATTGCTTGATAGATTACTTTTATGGCCAATAATCAGGTTACACATAATGGGTGTTATTTCATTGTGTTTCTGTTTGAAAGGTTCTATTTTTCTATAATTCATTCAGTTTTGGTTGTATTCTTGTTGATCATTTTTACTGTCTTCAAATTATTTAATAACATAATTTCCATCTTGAAAATGATGGCATGCCGAGTTGCACCCCTTACTCTGTTCATTTACGCTGGGTTTGGTTGGTGGATTTGGGAAGGAATTTGAAAAAGGAGAGGGAAAAAGTATGTGAAATTGGGTAAAATGTAGGTGTATTTTATTCACATTTTATCAACTTTGTCCCTTTTCTCTTTCCAAATCCCTTCCCAAATCCCCAAATCCCCTAACCATACACAGTGTTAGGCTATGTTTTGTTCATAGATTTAGGAAGGGATTTAGAAAGGAAAAGAGAAAAGGTGTTTCAAGTGTAATTGAAATGTAGTTGTATTTCTTTCACATTGAACCCCTTTTTCCTTTTTCCTTTTCCCTTTTCCCTTTTCCCTTTTCCCTTTTCAAATCCCTACCCAAATCCTTGAACCGAACACAATGATAGGGTTTTAGATTATGTCTTGCTCAGGGTGTGTTGTGCTTATATGAGACCACCCACATTTTATCTTTTGTGGGTTGTTTTTAGATGTGTCCTGATTTGTTCTATTGATATTCAGTGAGATGGCACAAGGCCCACATGCATATTCCCATTAGAAGCTTTGTCGCTGCTAATAAATCAGGAAAGGTTCAACTGAAGAAGAAGTGAGCTCTCTCTCTCTCTCTCTCGCGCACACACACACACACACACACATGTATGAGTAGGTGTAAGGGATGTGTAAATGACCAACCAATATGTTAATATGTAACCTTGGTCTCAAATCTCGATGCAACGGATGAATATTTACAAAGCTATAAATGATTAAAAGCTTTTCAATTGTTGCACTCCAAGAGAGAGAACTAGTGTGTTCAGTGGGTGAATCTTAAACTTATTGATGATAAATGATTAAAAGCATTCACATGTAGTCTTGTGTTCTAAATTTCAGCATAGTCAAAACTGAACTTGATTGGAAGGAAAAATTAAATAAAAAAAATTAGAAGCCCCATTGCTAGGGACGGATCCAGATTATCACTATGGGGGTGCAAAAGTATGTTAGAGGGTACAACCCTTATAATTTTAAATTATTTTAAATTTTCTAGTATAATATATGATATTTTTCAAATTTTTTGGGGTGTGGTCGGCCCCATCTGCGCCCCCCATAGATCCATCCTTGATTGCTTCTGCTTGTGAAACAACTGGTTAATTTGTCGGCAGCATTCGTAGTGTTAAGAGTGTTGCCTTTGGTGGAGGTGCAGTTGGTGTTGGTAGAGGAGGTGAAGTGTTGGTGCTGATGGTAATGTTTGTGT